TCAAAGGCCGCCCACGGCGGAGGCATACCGTCTCTACCTGGGAATTCAAAGGCAGGGACCATCCCACCAGCAACCATTGCTTCCTGCTGTGCCTGATAGTTCTGACCGTCATCTGGCTGAGGCATCATACCGGTCGGGTCGAAAACGGCACTGGCCGCCGCTGCTGCTGCTGCTGCCGCGGCTGACCCGCCATCATCAGCAACACTTCTCTCAGCCATGGTTAGTACTAGGGTTACCACAGGTGAAGAGTGTTGAAAGCAAGGAGAAGGAGGATAAAGAACTGAGAGTGGTATGAAGACTCGAGCCCAACCAAAGCAAATGGTAAGCGGCAATGGAAGCAGCAGTAGGATAGGAGACTATCTCGTACACTATCATTACTACCAGTCACAGGAACGTTCCGATGCGCGTCGCGCTTATACACCATGAACCTGAAACGATGCCCACTATCTAAAGAGCTCGACTCCAGATCATCATAGACTTGCCTTAACGAAATCTTTTTCGGCAATTCCCTCGTGGACCAAGAAGTCTCCTACCAGCTTTCGCTTGTCACCTTGGATCATAATGACCTTGCCGAACTCGGGGTCTTCCGTAATACTGCCATTGCAATTGAACTCCTGTGAGAAGGTTTGTGCACTTCTGGGGACCGCCCCTCGCTCCTCTACTACCTTTTTGAAATGCTTAAGGATTTTCTTGGAGCTAAATTGTTTCGGTAGACCCTGGATGATGGTCAGACTCTTCCTGCCATTCCGCTGTTGGTTCCGGATATCTACACTCACACATAGACTCTATGAAACCGGTCCTAAATGGTAGGCACTCCTTTGTTCAATGGCGGCTATATGACTACCACCCCACATCACCGATTCCCGCGCGCCACTAAATTATTCCGCGATAAAACCTTATCCTGCTACCCAGAAACCTAATATCACCCTTTTCGCCCTAGGACTGCCAAGCAGAGCACTGACGTGACATGGGGAAGGCATTCCCCGTCCGACCAAAGGCGGGTCTGTTGCCGCGACCGTTACAGTACGACGATCCCCGATAAGCCCATTATTACGAATATAATTCTGCTGATGATCATCATCCTGCTGATCTCCAAATAGCTCCTGTGCAGGGTTCATTTACTGCGATGGATCAAGATAGAAGACCGATAACAGGTTTCTCACGAGGTGACGTGCGACTGCGTGCAAAATGCACGAAAATTTTAGCGGAGCGAAGTGGTGCATGTTTACACGTTTTCATTATCATTTCATTCGATGATGCGCTCTGCTGTAG